TATGAACTTCATATATACATTGTATCTGATTTATCATCACGGGTTTATTACGAATCAACTTAACGGCCTGCTCCCAGTTGGCTTGTTAGCTCAATTGGTAGAGCGCTGCACTAGTATCGCAGAGGTCAGTACAGGCCTGATTTTTTTCAGGTCTGATTTTCGCTATTGCATAAATAGCGCTCCCTACTGCGAGGATCGTGCATCATACGTATCTAACACCGCAGTTCAAAATATATGAACTTCATATATACATTGTATCTGATTTGTTATCACGGGTTTATTACGAATCAACTTAACGACCTGCTCCCAGTTGGCTTGTTGGCTCAACTGGTAGAGCGCTGCACTAGTATCGGAGAGGTCAGTGGTTCGAATCCCGTACAGGCCTGATTATTTTCAGGTCTGATTTTCGCTATTGCATAAATAGCGCTCTCTACTGCGAGGATCGTGCATCATATGTATCTAATACCACAGTTCAAAATATATGACCTTCATATATACATTGTAAGTGTATTTATCATTTAAACTTATTTCAAACTTTTTCTTGCCCTTCGTGTATAGAGCGCGCCATAGCCCATTCAACAAGGTCGCCGCGTGCATTTTGTTAAAAACATTTTGACGAAAAAAGGAGTCATGTTATTGAAGTTAATCATGTTCTTAAAATGCCAGGGGAGGTAACTCGACTAGAAAGAGTGTAATCCTGCGAGCGATAGAGACAAGCGCATCATGAAAGCGAGGCTCGGATGTACAAATTACTAGAGAATTCTGTTCATGGAAAATATAAGGTACATACTAATTGGATTGTTTAATGAAGGAGAAAAACAAAATTATTGCATCATCTGGCTAAAGCTCCAATTGCTGCATTACACCTTGAGGCATGCTCTAGGAACCAATCTTTCCCCGCAAACACTATATAATACTAATCTAAGTCATGGAAGGGCTAAAGAAAAACCTTACTCTTGCGGCGGTTTGAGATTCCCAGGAGGAACTTACTCGTTGGAAAATAATCTTCAAATGTGGCAAGTATTCGACTACAGACGCCACCAATTTGGCTGTAGATGCAAAACCACAACACGCGGTTCATAAACAGCTGTTATTCTTGTAGTTGCAAGAAATCAGTATTTGAATCAAATTTGAGGTAAATCGATTATGTTAGTTTTGCCAACATACAGGGGAAGACATTGTGTTCTTAAAACAGTAACTTTTTTTATTCTTGCTTTCAGACTGAGGCTCGAGACTCATTGGCTGATGACATTGGCCACTCCAACTTTATAAGTAGTGGTTGACCTGTTCGATTACAAGCTTATTAGCGAAGGGATAAGAAGCTCAAATTGGCCTGTTTGGTCATGCAACCGCCAATAAACCTAGACTCAAAGAGTGGTCACAAGCAGTCGGATTAGAGGACTTCGCTACAAACAAGCGAAAACATAGTTTTTTCGGAGACAGAGAAACATCTATATAAAAACTTGAGCCGTCGCGTTCATATGATGATAGTAAGTAAGTAAGGACTTTATTTATAGAGGGGGACACGTAACAGCTGAAAAGCTGACAAACCTGTGGCCCTCTAAACGTTTACACATGAAAAGTGTACCGAGTGCTTAGATTGATACGTTTACACATGAAAAGTGTGCCGAGTGCTTAGATTGATACGTTTACACATGAAAAGTGTGCCGAGTGCTTAGATTGATACGTTTACACATGAAAAGTGTGCCGAGTGCATAGATTGGAGCCCGGAAAACATCCTTATTTTAAAACAAATTGTTCAATTTCAAAAAATTGAAAAACCACTGGTAACTTGATGAGACCAAGAATGATAATTCCAACTTTTCTTGAAGCTCAGTGTTTTCCGAGCGGTAAAAAATTCAGTAGTCAAATTAACATGTTAAAAGCCACATCAGTCAAGGCAGAAAAGTTAATTCAATCGAGAACAGTTTAAAAACCAAAAACCAAGAGTGTGCAGTACGAGCAGCTCGTTCAAGAACGGAGTAAACCGTGAACAAGCAGTACGAATGAATGTGTTACTTATGGAAATATTCGTATGATTAGTGTTTTTGCTAATACTGGTTAGATTAGCAGGACATTTTCAAGGCTGTGAACCCTATTGAACCCTTAAGCTTACTCCCTTCACCTAGTTTCCTGACTAAATTCCCGATTGCACTCAATCTTGAGCGATGTCATCAGTCAGGTTTTCAAACCAGTTACCTTACTTCTACCAACATTTAAACGTAGCCTTAATATTAGATCCATCTGCCGTATTTGATTGTAACTAACTTGAAGCTAGTCGTAAATAAAAACTGAAATCTTTCACAACATTAAGGCCGAGAAATTCACCAATTAAGGGAATAAGTCGAACCTTTACCATCCACAAACTACTGACTACGTGGGATACAGTAATCAGGTTCTCCTAAATTATGTTTACGGAATTTCACAGCAAACTTTTGGCGGTCTTCCTTTAAAATCGTATGCAGTCTATATCGTACCCAGTCTTTTTGATAGAATAAATTAAATATGGCAGCAAGAGGTCTTCTCCCGAGCCCTTTCATCTTTTTTGCCATGTTACGTTTAGTACTCCCTATTAGCTGTCAAGACTCAGTAATTTCCAGCCCTAAGGATTACTTGATTCACCTTTGGAAATTTTGTAAACCACTTTCTTCTTATTCGTCTTCTAGTGGTCAAGATTATTTTCGTTATCGCCCAAGGTGTGACTTTACCACTTCAAAGCGATTTATCGTTGGCCTCTTTGGGGATATTGAAACTCAACCAGGTCCAGTGGCTAATTATAACGGCATATCTAAACTGCAGGAGTCTATCAAACTACGCGGGGTCTAAAAATGGCTCATCAGAACATCTAAAGCCTTTCTTGTAAAGTGGATCAGTTAC